ATATTATTACAAAAAATTTTTTTTCTTTAATCAGAATTATTAAAGTTAATTAGTATTGTTAAAGTTAACATTGGAAAGTCATAAAATTAATATGCGCATTTGCTGTCTTCTCAGAAACGGTTATCTTTAATTTCTTTTGACGCTGTCACATACGTTTCTACATTTACAGCTCCCTTGTTTGTCTTTTTTTTGTAACATCACACCATTCCACAGACTTTTATAACTAGACTACTGACTCAATATGATAGAAAGAGATGAACTTGATTTTGAATTGTTCTTGTTTCAGTTTTACATATGCGTATATATCCGTCTGTGAATATTGCATAAATTTATGTGAAGATCGATATAAATCTCCGAATTTACTGAATGGAATAAAAAATCTTTTTACAGGATTAAAGTAGATGCAAAATTTGTTGATGCTGCAATAGATTTATACTAAAATTGAAAAAAAAGTTAAAAACTTCCATTTTTTCAACTTGTCGTTTCTAGCTAAAGCTTTAATCGAAATTTGACGTTTTTTCTTCTAGGCCTCGCATTTTCAAAAAAACATGATTTATCATCTTTATTTCTCCGCACTTGAGGCAAAGGAGATAATCTACGAATCTGAGTAGACTTGCTCTAAGTAAGGAGTGATTACATGTTAATAGTGACTACCGTCCTCCTATCTAAATCAAAAATTTTAAATACCACACCATATGTCCTTCGTGTCACACATAATAATAATTTTGGACTGTTCAAAACCCACGTTTAAGGCTAAGAATCACCATAGATCCTACACAGTAGTATACAAATCCTGCCGTTCTAAACTTAAGGGAAATTGACTCATCATGATAATCGGACTGTCTTTAGATCTGGAGCCGTCTGTGTACAGGCACATTGAAGTGTCTGGTTCAACTTAAAATGCTTTTTTAAACGTGGAATTTATTTCTTCAGAGTTTCTCAGGATTTTCCTACTATCTATGGAATTCGAGTCTGGAATAAAAGTGAGAGCCTCATATTTATCAGAAAAACAAATGGGTATTGTTCCTCTAGTACAATCTTATCCTCCAGAAAACTCTCCATTAAAGGAGGAGTCCTAACACGTATAACCGTGGATAGGAAGTACATTTCTTCTTGTAGGGACTCTAGTGATTGAATTAGAGAATGATTCTCGTTAGTTGCTGCTCGGGATAAATAGTTTTTACCCAAATATTCGCTTTTTATGTACAACTTTTGTAATATTATTTTAAAATGTTTAAAACGCGGTGCCACCTTGTAAAATCTTTTACAACAGTTCGCACAGGTACAGTTCGCCGACAAGCAGAAATGGAAATTGCTTCATCGACTGTAGATATTCAAACTTGAATCAAATTGTTCAAGAGGTCCTCACTAAAAGCATACTTGAGAATTGGCAACATAATTTTTCAATGTAAATTTTTTAACGGTAAAGAGAACTTGATATATTTTAGAGCGTTCTGTATTGTAAGCATATATCCAAACAAAAATAAAAATAAAACTTTATAAATGAAATAAGTTAGAAAATGGCAATACAGTCGAGATAAAATATTTTGAGAAATGCCTAATAGTATTTTTTGATTCTAAATACATCTTTTATCTATGTAAACTGCGTGCAACTTACTGTCAGAATTAAAACAACTGAAACCAAAATAATAATATCATTAAACTGCATCGTGGATCGGATTATGATGCCGGTAGCAGCATTACCTACTTAATAATTATTAAAACTTAAAAAAGCTAAAAAAAAAACAACAAAAAATTAACTTGTGTCGTCCAAAGGGAAAAAAAGCAGGAATTACCTACACACGATAAAAAAAATCTGAAAGTAATCCATTTTATATATTTCTAGTTCGTATACGTTAATTATTTGAAGTATTGCAGTATATGAAGCGTGACGTACAAATGCAGACGCATATTTGACATCGCGTTGTATTATACTATTTATATCTTAATTAACACGCTCGATATATTTTATCGAATAAATTCATCTTTGTATTTTACATATTATTTATTAAAATGGATCCACGACAGTGTCCGTTTTCGGTTACATTAGTTTTGTTAGTGACAACACTATGTATCCACGGTCAGATGCGATCAATAAAAATCGGTAAGAAGTGATTCTTTTTTACAAAATTAATAAATTAAAAAAAAATATATCGCTCATGATGTGTGGAAATTCAGAAGATTCTAACGACAGAATTAGCGAAGACCGAAATCTCTATGATAATCTACTCTACTGATACCTACATAAATGTAAAAAGCATTTTAAACTAAATCAGTATTCGCAAACCCATTTCTTTCAACTATACTATGAAAAATTGTTTATAACAAATATTTTTTTCATGACCTTACATAATTTTAAGTCACTTATTAATATTATTTCTCGAATTTTCATAATAAAAAAAACCGTTTAATTACATTAACTTCAAGCAAAGATGTATTAATTTAAAGTACAATAAACTTGTAAATATCAGTTAAGAAAATTTTGAAACGAATATTAATTAAAGTTAATATAATATTCCATTTTTAGCGACTGTTACGTATTAAATTAACAACCGATTATATAAATTATCAATTATCTTCTTTTTTAAGAATTACGTCATTACGTCATTAAAAAACGCTATATGTAACAACGCTATGTCGAGTCATAATTAAAGTCAAAATAAAAAAAGCATATTTTACATAAAAAAATATATCAATATAAAGAAAGTAAAAAAATTTATAATAAAATAATTTTTAATTAAAGTTCATTAGTAATAAATTTTGGGCGTTATAATCAGGGCGTTATAATCAGGTAGTACTAAGTTAAAAAGTTAAAAAGTTAATTAATTTTAACTTAACTTAGTTATATTTTGGACTTTTAACTTTTTAACTTAATTTAGTTACATTTTATCGGTAACTATTAATTTTTAATTTGATTTTTTTTAAATTAATCTTTAGATACAATGCGAGAGACTAATGAATATGTAATTTAGTAATTTTATGTTGTATAATCGTTACTTGTGAACAAAAATAACCAGATTTTTAAATAAATAAGCTGTGAAAAAGGAAAAATATGAAAAATCATGTAAAATAGTCAAACTTTTTCTTTTTTTATGGTTGTTTGATCAACAATTTAACTTTTAACTTTTTAATTACTTTTTTTATTAACTTAACTTTAAATTTAATTAATTTTATTATGGATTATAATTTATATTTTAATTAAATTAAATTTACAAGACTGTTAATTTTAATTTAACTTAATTAAAAAAAAAGGTCAACTTATCTAACCTTGGTTATAATATCAGTACATATTCACAAAGTTAGAGAGAAATATTTTTAACGATGTTCACAAGCGCTCGTTACTTAAGAGTATGTACGGACTATCAAGCTGAACATCGAGCCGCGAGCAGAGACTGCGTCCTTTAAAGATTTGATGAATTTATATTCATTTCGATAACGTGGATGTAGGATATCTTTGAATGTGAATGTAGGCTCGGCTTGCGGCTCGCTGTTTAGCTCGATAATCTGCAGGACGCTCCCTTATATTGATCCGATACGCGTAATGTAAATTGAAAACTCATACGTAGTCATCAACTAGTATTAGCTACTATAAAAATAAATATATGTAATAATTATTTACACATATAATTAGAAAATTAATTGTGATAATAAACAAATTTTTTTACCTTAAATAATCATCACTAACAAATTTATTAATTAATTATTCAGCACATTTATTTACATTTATTTTTTACAACAAATATGTATAATATTTTTTAATTAATTTTTCATTTATTAATTTTTAGGAGCAATTTTTCACAAAGGCGAAGAAGATCTTCGATCTGTATTCTTAAGAGCAATCTCTGACACAAAAAACGGAACTCATGCACTCACATTTGAACTTGTACCAGTCACTAGATACATCCAGGGCAATACCGATAGCTTTATGACTGGCAAAGCTGGTAAGTACGCGGTGAGATTAATTATTCCGGGTGACGATTATTCTATAATGTTGGCATATATG